GAGTACCATGTTAATACCATGATAATCACAGTATGGATATTTGTACCATGATGCCACCATTAGACTCTGTTAATCTTTGCTCTCCTTGTATTTTGTTCTGCAGGTTTCTTTTGTGAGTGCATCAAGTTACATTTTTCAACTTTAGTTTAAACTTCAACTTCCAAGTCAAAAGTTTAATAGTGTAATTGACAACTAGATTGACAGTCTTGAGTAAGCTGGCATCAGTCTGCCTCTCTTGACTGTATGACTTTAATATCTGACGACACTTCCCCACAAATTTCATCATACTTTCAATATTCTCTCTCATACTCACACTGCTGCACTTTCTTTTTTATCTGTCATTCTTCCTCCCATCCATTTAAAGTGCAGTCAAATGAATAGAGCCGCATCCCTGTGGATGAGCAAAAAAGTTTGTTGTTTTGACCTTGAGATGCCCACTTCAATTCAGTTACGCTTAAAACAGTTACCTTCTAGGATACACCCATTTAATAATCCTGTTTTCTGCCGGCGAAATGGCTTGGGTTTGGGCTTTTGCTGTGCAATATTCGGATAAATAGCCCTCAAAAGAAGATGATTCATCCCTCGAGTAATGAAGACATATGGTTTTTGTCTGAACGGATGCATTGTTATGCTCTGTGTCGCAGATAATGTTGGGAGGAAATATAGTGGTACAATGGATTCCATAATACCCGCCTAACAAACTGGCCTTGTTAGTAGTGTGTTTGTATGTGTGTGTGTGTGTGTATGGGAGGGGATGTGATTATGGTCCACCAAGCCTGCCAATAGCGTGGATTTAGCTGAGATGAAGAGTGGGTGCACATTGCCTGCATGTCTGGTGGCGATGAATGTTGGCGCAATGAAATGCTGAGTATTTGGGTGACAGTAGCTTTGGGTTTCTGGTGCCAAAAATGGCTGCTGGTTGGCATGGCAGATCGCATCACTGAGCCCATCAGTTTTAGCTCCCATTTAACGTTACAGTTTAGCATAGTCACTCAGACCATTAGCAATCACATCCCTGTATAAAATGCACTTCCAGTCTCGGTTTTATTCGCTGCAGTGTTTTAAAACCCTCGATTAGACAAGTGGACATTTTATGCTTTTGAGGGTTCATATCAGCATAACACAGTCAGATGAATTTGGTCTTTAGTGAAGCCCTCTGATTTCATTTCAGCAAACTCCACAAGAATTAGCATATGCTCCCAATCTAACTTCACTGTTTTATGTTGACGGATAACTCATGTTCAAAGGTAAAATGACACAATTTGAAACTTAAACTGTAATAATTTAAAATGAACAACAGGTTAAGAATATAAAGCAGAAATGTCAATGGATTCAAATATGTAAGCACACAATATTATTTTAGTATTATTTATACAACATTATATAATTTATTAATATTTTGAATTAATTTGATTAGCTTTCAAACTTACTGTATTTCAGTTGCCAAGGCAACATTTCTAGTTTTCATGTAAGTCTATTTTATTTGATTTCAGCTTGATTTAAGTTAACAAAAATGTTTGTTAAAAAAATTTTTTTTTTGGCAACGCTTTAGATTACAACCCGCAACTACTGCGTAAGTAAACAGAATTTACAGCATAACTTTTTTGTAATTATAGTGTATCTATTCAGTACCTCAGTGTAGGTATAAGGGAATAATATGCGAAGTTTGGGGAATAAAGGGGTAATAACCTGTAAAATTAGAAATTATTTCTACTGTAAGTATTTTGAAACTAAAGGGTACCTATTCTAATATTGCGTGGTATGTATGACCTAACAACAATCTTATATTTGCAAGCGATTTAGCAAAAACATACACTGTGTACTTTTTTTTTAATAACCTGAACATATAAAACACGCTGGGTTATTGTTTTAATCTAAACGCTCGGTTGAGACTGTTGGGTTAGGAAGCTGACTTGATTTGACTCAATTTGGGTTGATATCAGCAATAAATAACCCAACGTTGCTGGGTTGGGAATGTGGAGGACGTGAAAGAGAGCATGCAGCAAGTCATGCGAGTTCAAATGCAAACGGTTCTGTGTGCGACGAAATCTGTGTGCGGTGCTTAAGACGGGAATGTGTGGAAAATAGGAGAAAACTAATCGAAGCGCAGACGAGGGTCAACTTTGAAACTGTCTGGAGTGTGTTAGTTTAAAACTGGACAAGTTAATGTGGTGAGCGGGAACGGGAAACAGCTAGAATGGCGCTCGAGATGATCGAGTCGGTGCTTGAGGACGTGGATCAAAACGGTAAAATCAAAGACGGTAAAATCCTGTCAGTTTGCTATAATACACAGTTTAATCTTGACTTTCAGTGTTTATTACTGTGTTTATTGGTGTGATGGTTTGGCCATAATAGTTTAACTTTGTCAGTGGGTGAAAAACATGATCAAATTGAACAAAATCTTAATGTAACCCTATATAGAAATCCTATGAGTAATAGGGTTAAAACATTTATTTTATTCTATTGTTTGTTTATCATTTGTTTGTGCATTGTCCATTCATTTCTTAACTTGACGAGGCATGAAACAGACTTGACATGAACAGACTTGACTTGACATGAACAGACTTGACTTGGCATGAACAGACTTGACAAGGCATAACAGACTAGACTCACCGACAGCGGGTTACAACTTCAATACACGACAAGACACAATGGGAACATGATGGCTACTTATAGCAAACAAGGAGGGTCACATGACATGAACAAACCAATGGGAAACCAGACACATGACTAAGACGACCAATCAGAACATGACACAATGAACAGAGGAACCAATGGCATGAATAAATGAGGGCAAGGGAAGCATGACGCAAACAGGGACCATGATTAAACTCCAAAATAAAAGACATGAAAACATGAACAAGAAACACACCCAAAACACCACATTACACCCATTAGCTCAGTGTTCCCTGTGTGCTCTACTAAATGCTTCGTTAGTACCCAGAGTAATAATCCCGGTTTAGAGAAGTAATCTCATGGGGGCATCAGATATTCTAGAAGGGGGAGAGTGTAACCCTATATAAAAATCCTATGAGTAATAGGGTTAAAACATTTATTTTATTCTATTGTTTGTTTATCATTTGTTTGTGCATTGTCCATTCATTTCTAATTCGGGGATGATGTTTTAAAAGCTTTCTATACTGGTACGTTTCTACGTACGTATGTATCATTACGTAATGTAGCGTAAAAGTTTGTTAGAAATGCGCATGTGAAAAACGTGGTGTGTGATTATGTGGTCCCTCTGATATTTCTGTTT